GACTCCATTTCTTTCTTCATCTACTTAATTCAAAACAGCATTTTCAAGTTGACTACAATAATTACATTTCTTTCTTTTGTTATTGTTTCTTAATGTCAAAAGGTTGGAATAAAATTGATTGTTGTATGTATATGATTTTTTTTTTTTTACTGTACAAAATTAACCAATTTCATGAACATCCTTCAAGAGTGGTGATTCTGTAATTTTTGCCAGGGGTTGTTGTATATAAAATGTCAGTGGTGGTCTATTTTTCTCTAATTAAATCCAAAATGTAAAGCTCACCATCTGGCCTTGTGCTCCTCTCATAGTCTGAGGATTCATATATAATGACGCTCACAGCACTAAAACAGGACGAACATCAAAACCAGATGCACGTTTGCTTGATGTGCCTTACGAATACGGCACAGTAAATGGTTCTCACCAAGGAGGAGTTAACAAATACAACTCACGCAGTTCTATGAAATCATCCGGTGCCGTTTTTATAACCAGAAATCTGTAAACAAGCAATTTAAGCATAGATATATGGCAGGGTTTATATCAATGCATTCTGTCAGTTCTCTTTTTATGATTAGGCCAAGCTGTGTTTTAAAATCTGCATGTGCTCATTAATGTAAAGGACATACTGTATTATGAGGTAAAAAAAATAAAAAATAAGGTTAGGTCAATAAGAAAAACATCTGCAGAACATAACTTATTTACATATAAGTTATACTTTAGGTAAGCAGATAGTAAATGGGAAATACTGAATCTGCCTCTGCACAGTTAATCAATCATTGTGCTTCTAACCTGCTGAAATTTTCTTATTTGAAAACTGCACATTGTTTGACCAAAAGCCACTAAGCTGTGCATGTTAAACAGACTGGAAAACTATTACGGACAGAAAATCAAAATTTGTTTAAGGCTCATGAAAAAGTTTCCACTCTGTGGGGATTAAAAATAGGAATTTGCTAAAACAGGGGGATGAAGGGGAGGAGAGGAAAGAGGAGGCGGGGGGCAGTTCAATCACTGCTTTGACTTCATGTTTATATTATCCAGAGGAGAGTGGGTGTCGAGTTTGACCAAAACCTGTTTCACACTGATGCTTTGCATTCCCCATTTCTTTAGTCAAATGCAAACTTTTCTGTCCTCCGTAATAAATGTCTTCCAAGATGGTGTACGACCAGTGATTTTCAAAAAGCAATAATGCAGAATAATGGATAAACCCCACCACCTCTCTTTTTTTCCTCTCTCTCACACACACACATACATGAGACGCTAAAGAAAAAACTGTGGCGTCTAGTAAAATTCCATCAGCATACACTAAAAAAAAAGGAAAAAAAACATAAAACCTTTTCAATCTATATGTTAATGCCATGAATTAAAATTTAATAACAAGAGATATTGAAAAGCAGACTTGAATTATACAAAAATAAATCCTAAAAGATCAGGCCCCTAAAATTAGAAATTCAGGGCTGCATCCGGACTGCTGCTAAACCCTTGTAGGCTGGCAGATTAAATTTTTGATGAAAATCAAAATTACACTGCACACTGACGCAGGCGCAGCAAACCTGGCACTATTGTGATTTATGGATTCATTAAACCCGCGGGAGTTTCACCCCCCTCCCCTTTTCACTCAAAGAAATGAGATTTGCTTTGCTGAAAATTTGTATTTTTCAAAAAAAAAAGCTACTCAGCCTCCGCTCTACCTACAGAAACGGTCATGGAGGAGAAAAAAAAGCTTCTGTGTATAAAACCACTGCACGTAAACAGGCCTAATTTTCATTGCTGCAGCAACTGAACATCCCTATGCATTATTCATGAAAGCAATAAGGTTCATTTTTACAAAGGAAGTAAAAAAAATGCAGAATGCACAGATTTTTTTTTTTAATGCAGTACTCTCAACCCCTGAAAAGCCTTTCCCTTGAGACTAATTTAACTGAAGATATTTTCAGACATTTTCTACATGCCACTATGGGAAAAAAAAAAAAAAGAACATAGATGTTCACTATGCTTAAGAGAGATGTATGATTTTTCCAGACATATTCGAGAATCAAACTGTAACTGTGTGTACTAAAATAAAGACGACCTCAAAAGTTGCTGCTTTCACTTAAAATAGCAAGCGAACACTCTGTAGCAAGCCAACGGCAATCAGGACGGCACTTACGTTTTAAAACCTTTAAGAGGGCAGTGATATAATCCACCACCATCTTGTGTTTCTCGAAGCCTGGAGAGACAAACTTTCACCTGCTCACCTCAACTACTGCCTTTAAAAATACCAACTAGTGAAACGCTTCAGTTCATTAAACTACAAATAAACTTACTTAAAAAGTAACTCAAATGCGAATTTATTTAAAAAGAAGAAAGAAATAATCAAAATATTTCTGCTTATCTAACTTAAATGCAGAAATTGCGAAAAGTGCAGACTTTTGAGAAACGCTTCTTGTTTTGTTTGTGTATTCTTGCAGTTGTGACAAAGTTAGTTGATGGTTTTTTTGCAAGATCCTTTACTGAAATATTGTTAGGACATGTATGAAATCATTTCATGTCATAGCAGGCCATTATTTTTAACTAATAGACGTAAAGAAAGTTTTTTTTAAATATCTATGTCCATCAATTCTCAATACAAAACTAACTATTTTTTCTGTTCGAATTGAAATCTGTTGTCCTCTTCTGGGCTCACTCATAAATAAACCTAGCACAAAAAGTAAGAAAATTTGTTTTTGGTCAATTATTTCTTTGTTTCTTGGCAATAAGTCATATAGTGGGCACCTGATTGGCAGCACCTTGTGGGTACCAGAAGCTCAAAACAAATGTCAGGATGTTCAGTAATATAACTTTTTAATTATGTTTGGAGAGTGAGGTGGGGTGTTTATGTATTTATTATTGATTGTAAAATGTTTTATTTCATATTATGTTTGTTTTTCTGTTATTTTTTTCTTATTTCTATTACTCTCGGATGTTGTTTTGTTTTTACTATCTGGAGGGACTACAGATGTAAATTAGCCTTAGGCTAAATCTGGTGCAATGCATCAAATCTTTTTATGTTTACGTTTTAATCGCACACTGTCCCAACTAAATAAATTCATTCATTCATACAATAGTGACAGAAAAATAAGATGTTTGGCAGAGAAGATGTGGCTGGTTTTTCATATGCGTAGCCCACATACTCAGCTCTACTGCTCATCCCACAAATGCATGTTCCTTACAAATGTGGCACCATTTAAAACAGAAATGAACAGGCTTTCATAAGATTTACTGCCAAGAAGCATTGTTACGCCCAAACAGACTTCCTTACTTACGTTGCAAAATATATGAGGTTGTAGTGCATCAGACTTATAATTCTTACTGTTTTATTTGATTTAACTTACAGGTAATAAAGTAATAGCTTGACTATTAACCCTCAAGGCAAGACAAAAAAAATGCTTTCTTCCTTTTATTAAACATAGCTATGGTAGGGTACATATATAAACATCTTTACCACCAAGTGTTTTGGCTACATGTTTTTATGCTTTTAGTTACTGTAGTTAATTTGCAAGTTGCCCATTTTAATGAACACAACCTCCATGAACCCAATTAGCATCATTCCCAACAATTTTATAACTTATTGCTTCGTTTCTTTTTACAATAGTCTGCACTCTAATAAATTAGGCACACTGGTTTGCCATCTCCTCAATTCTGTACTTAAACTCAAACTCCTACATTTTGAATAGACTTTTTTAAGCAAAAGGTCAGAATTTTACACACCGACCACACTTTTCTTTTTTTTTTTTTCCTTCCACAAGCTCTTTGAATGGGATGAATAAAGATTTTGAAGGTCAGCATTAAAAATTACCCACAGAAAAAATGGCCTGTGCCGTTTCCTTTCACATTAAAATAAAAGCAAGCCACGCAAGATGGGAAACTGTTTGGCATCTGCAGGATTAATATAAACAGTAGAGGCACTGGTTGTGATTGTTTTTCCTCCCCTCAAATTATGCTGACATGTTATTTCTTTCTCCCAGTGCTGTAAAGTTCACTTTGAATAATTCTGGTTTTCACCCCCACCTCTGCAGTATTACAGAATTTCAATCTCTAGTAAGAAGTTCAAATGAACAAAAGGTGCAAAGTAACATTTTGTAAAATAAATAAATAAATAAAATTCAATAAAATAAAACATTTAATCCAGGAGGGGGAAAAAAATCACCAAGTACAGATTTATCCAAAAACAATTACATCTGTTAAATCCCACTTTAACCAGAACATGCATTCAAGCATTATTTTTAACAGCACAGACTCATACTAATTTCTGAACATATGTGCATAAGCCAAATAACAACAACAATAATAATGATAACAAAGAAATAATCACCACAACTCGTTACATTTTCTAATTTCTCAAATATCAATGTCTGCCTACAGGTGGCGCCAACGGCGACCGCGCATCTAAAATCCTCTATCTTCACAAATTAAATATGAAAATAAAAGTCGGAACCGTGTTTCGACAAGACCAGACCGTGGCGTTCCTTCGTCTTTATTTACCGTCAACAACGAGCCGGTGAAAGACGAGCAGGAGGGAAATGTCGGCGCTGTGAAACTGCCAGGGGAAGCAACTCCGGAGCTTCTGCTCAAATTTTTTGCAGGAAAAAAAAATTCACAAAACATCATGGCTGCAGGAGGTTTTTGTGTTTCAGATTGTTCCTCCCCTCATCGTCCTTCATGTTCCCACCATCGCAATTAAAAAGCGCTTATTTTACACGGGCTGGCATTATGTGTGAGCAAACTACAAAAACGACTGGGCGGCAGTTTCACCACAAACTTTATTACTAAAAAAAATTTACCCCTCCTCAAAAACAAAAAATAACATCAACAGATTATTGCTTTTAAAAGCCTTTTACCTGGTGTAGTGGTGAGCAAATAGTGCGAAGAGACTGTCTGGTCTCGTTAATCGTGAAAACGGGAGGCTGGAACTTCACATCCGCTACTTCAAATTTCTAAAAATTTACGATTTTTAAAATGAGAAAAAATAAAACAATTTGACATACCTCCAAATACGATGCAGCTCATGCGAAACAGACTCCTGCTGCAGAAATTCTTCCTCCTCCCCGACTAGAGGTGACTGCACAAAACTGCTTCCTCAAAAAAAAAAAAATTGTGAATTAGTTATGAGAATTTTCCAATGATAAAAGGGGAAGAAAAAAATTCACCACAGCGGTTTCCCCCCCTCCACCACGAGCCTCTATGTTACATCTTTAGTAAAGCCTAATGGCGAGTTGAATTATAAATATGTCGAGGTTTTTTTTTAATGGACCTAAAGGCTCTTCGTGCCTTAAACAGAGGGGTTTGTTGTTGCCGTTCCTCCTGTGGAAAATTTCGTCCGCCATATACAAGGGCAGATTCCGAAATTGCAGCCCTGGCCTGAATATTAGCTCGCATAAAAAAGAAAAAAGAAAAAAAGAAAAAGAAAGAAAAAAAGTCTGCGAAGAAAGAAAAAAATGTTGGCCAACTATGTAGTTGCACGGAAACCTATTAAAACGCGCAGAAGCTACTTTTAAAGCATTAACAGCATTAAAAGCAAATTGTAACAGCTTTAAACTAATTAACATTTACGATTTAAACACTTTAAAGCAAATAACACTGCATTAACTAAAAAGGGCAGTACTGATCTGTTTTTGATAAATAGCTAGTGAACCTGCAAATCTTTATGCTTACCTAGATTATTTTTCCTCATCTACTTGATTTTCATCATCCAGCACCTTATACATGTATGACAACAGACAAACTGTGAAATTTAAGTAAACTGAACAACCAGTAAAATATTAAAGTTGTTTTTAATTTGTTGATCTTGCTAAATATTTAATGTGCATCATTTTTTTAAACTTCAAAACAATGTGTAGTATTGTTCTGTTACTGTACGTCTAAAATCAGTGCTTACTGCAACAAAATGTGTCAACAAATTCATTAAATCCGTCGATATATAAAGCAAATTTGCTTGCTGATCAAGAAGGGTTCAAGAGCAAGTTTTTGTTGGCCAACAAATTTTGATTTTAAAATCCTACTCGAGAAAATTTCTGATTTTTGTTTTCCTTTTAAAATAGTCATGGTTTAAGATAAGATGTCGAAATCATGCGTTTATAGTAAATTCATTATATAGGTACAGTATGTGTTTTAAATGTGGTGTTAAATTAACTGTGCAAACCCATCATTAAATACTGATAATGATAGAAATCATAATTCAGCAGCTTTTCTCTGCAACAGTAATCAGTGATGCATTAAGAAATGGAAGATAGTATTATCTTACACTAGTTATTATAGGTGAAAAAACTGAATTCAGGTAATTTTTTATTTTTTATTTTTTACTTTTTGGTGGGGGTTAGGGGGATCAGCTCTTATTACTTCGTTTCTCATGTGAAGACCAAAAATATTATATTACAGGTTCATATATGTCATAATAGGTTCAGCAAGTTTCAAATTTAATGTATTTAAAAAGTAGATACCAGTTTCTAAACTAAGAATAACACTTTCCAATTTTCCATTGCAGAACAGTTACCCATTGCAGTTGTTGCTTCTGTCCAGCAGAGGGCAGCAATTAACCAAGAAAAAGCCAGTGTTTCAATGCAGTGGTCAGTGAGTTCACTTGTGACTATGCACCAGTACTTACTCTCTTTTTTGCTCTATGGCTCCCTCTGCTGCCTTTTACCTCTTAAAGCGCTTATTCGTCTCATCCTGTCAGATTGCAGCTGACAGGTTTGTTCACTGGTATAAAATATGCTTGTATACTGTCTTGTTATCACATGGTGGTCATGAGGTTTTGAGGGATTTTTTTTTTTCTCTTGGAAGGTCTGAGAAAACACTGATTTTATGTAAGTTGTGGGTCTAAAATACCAACATGTCTTTGGCAAGATTGTTAAAGATCGTAGGGTTTGCTTCAAGTTCCCTGACTGAGAACACAAATCCATAAATAAGGAAAGATTTTAAGGAAATCAATAAGGTCAAACGTGTAGGTAAGTTAAGATTTTGGTATTTAGTGTCGACAACAAAGAAAAAGAAAGCATATTTTTTAGACGGGCAACTAGAATACACATGGAAGTATGTTTACTGCATTTATCAGATCACAAGTTAAAAATAAGAAGAAACCAAAATGTTGCCACTAATAATAAAAGCAACATCCTTCGTCCTCATGCTCCCCACAGTTTAAGGTTTGCCTGGCCTCCTCCTCACAGCCTACTTTTCTTACTTTTCTGAGAAAAAAATCTTTCGATAGCAGAAGAACCAACAGGTGAGGAGGCCTGACAACAACTGTGCTATTTTTTTCCTCAGCGACCTACTTGGGTTTAAAAGCAACCAAGACCTTTGCAGCAAGCTCAAGAGCACTTGAATAAATTAGGTGACGATTCCCAACACAATCAGGTCCTCCAAAATCAGACAAAAATAGCACGAAGAAAGAGAACAACAGTATACATACAGGCGTAAGGTGTGCTTCTGGGCAACAGGAATAAACACAAGATATACATACAAGTCTATAAACGAACTTGCATCTGTTTTGCAATGATTGATACATATACTGTCAGACATTTTATATTTTAAGCAGCAATTTCAACTTATGGCTGTAGCACAAAGTTAGATGGCATAGCATAAAAAGGGTTGTAATACACCAATGTGCTGCTAATTCTCATCACTTGCTCTCAATTTGTTTAAAGTTTTATTCTATTTTTAAAGTTGTAATGAGAGTGCATTCGTCTGCAAAAAACAGGTCTTGGATGACAGTCATCTTGACTTTGGAGATTTCAGACTGTCTTTTAAGACTGAGGAGCTTCCCATCTGTGCGATATATCAAACACTGACTCTGGGGTGTCTTTTATGGAAAGCATTCATTTGCATGGCAGAAAACACTATTCTAAACAGTGTTGGAGCAAGGACGCAGCCTTTGACTCTGTGTTATATAGTAAAATAAGCATATTCTAACCTTTTTGATTCATAAGGTACGCAGCAGTGTGAGCAGTAAGCACATTGATTTGGCCTCTGACCAATCCTTGTTTTAACAACTTGATCTACTTGAGTGCAACCCCTGATTACAATTCTAAGTTCCTCCTGTTAGTCCAAGAAAACAGTAGTTGCCGGCTGACCACAGAGGAGTAAAAGCAGGCAGTGATCCATGCTGTTGTTTGCCAACCTTTTTTGATAATAGCAGGTTTTTATTTAAAGACCTACCAAAGGCCTTAGAGTTGCTTATAATAAAGAAATCAGCCGATCACACCAGAAGTAAACAATTATTTGTCTGATTTTTATTATCGTCAAAGTATGTTTTCACAGTTTCTTACACAAAGTCACATTAGAGGATCAAAACGAATTTCACGGTAGTGTCGTTTATTAGTCATACCGAGTAATTACATGGACATTTTGATAATCCTTGACGATGAGTGTTATTAAATTTGCATGTTCAGAATAGAGGCAGCCACGATGATTCCATTAAAACCCTCGTGCATTCAATTCGTATGCTTTGATGCTCCTTCCAACTTAAATTTGTGATCACAGTGGCTCTTTGTTTCGACTGCAATCATTATATCAACTTTCCATATCACATGTCTAAATCTGATTTAATGACTCATGCATGTTAGGGGTAAAAAACAAATTGCTGCTATGTATAAATCCCTAAGAATAACGTTCAACTTGTGCTCTGATTGCACAATAAGTAGCGTTTATCCACCTTTAAAACATTTTGCTTGTGTGTTTTTTTTTTTGTCAAACACATCATGCAGCTAATCAGAGGCTGCTGGCTGTTTTTTTTGCTTTATACCTGGTTGCAAACCCTAGCAGCAGCACAACACACAAGAAAGAAGCTCATAATTGGTTAAATCACCACTGTTTGAAGCACCTGGTTAGACAATGAGATGGATCATAATTGTAGTTATGATAGGGTAGTCAATGACTAAACCTCCTACTTTCATCGAACCTGACGAGTCAAGAGAGGTTGAGGAGGATGCTAAGAATAAAACACACAGTGGTTGTGCTGTAAACCTCTGTGGTCCAAGAATATATCTGATTACAGTAGTGCCCTTTCCAATCCTAATTATAGTAATCCAGTTTCTGAACCTGATTGTTGTTTTTATGTTTGGTCACTACAGAATCAAAGCCACAACCTGTGATTATCATCCAGGAACTGAAATCCAAATGTGTTGATATATTTCACTACACAAAGTAGATTTTTGCAAAAATAGTGCACTTTAATCAGACGTCAAGTGACATTTTGAGATGTATAATTAACTACAGGTAAGGATGTCTTTGTGGATGTCTCCCAGGTAGGAGGAGGTAGTCTAGTGAAGACTCCAGACTCATAAGAGGGATTGATGAACACTGTTTTTCCAAAAAAAAAAAGCTTAAGATTTAGCTGAGTATCAGGCTGTGTTGACCTCCAGATCAGTTTTATAGATAAACCTATGTGTTTTTGTGCTATTTTCAAATTGCAAACACAGTCTTACAAGAATATGACAACTCAATATTTTGTTCATAATATTTGATACTTAACTGAAATAAGTTCTAGCTCTCATCTGATACTGATTATAAATGTCTTTAATTGCCTGCAAACAATTGGAGTTTCTGTCTTGATGTTGTCCCTGTTTTCTCCCAAGAACTGAGAATGAAAGTCTTCTTACCTTGACCTAAATGAGTGAGAATCAACACCTGGGTATGAGTTCAAAAATATAAAGCAGGTCAGCCAGTTCTGTCCTTTCTCTGAGACATTCCTCTTGTTTTAGTGTCAGTGTCACTTTCACAGCTCTCTCCCAAAACTATTTTCAAAGACAAACACATTTTTGTCTCTTAAGGCCCTGTCACACTAGTCAACTTATGCCAGTTGATGAACATTTTAAAGACATCTACATTGAAGATGGAATTTAAAAAATCAACAGGAAGCTTCTTTTCGGCACGTAAAGACAGACTGAAATTAGGAAGTTTATTGACATGAATGACAAAGTTTGGCGCTCAGACCCCGGCAGAGGATGAGCTGCTTGAGATGAGGGGTAGGAGTTTTTGAACGGGCATTCTGTGGAAAAGTTATAAACAATCAATGTCTTACCTGTTGTAGAAAGTGCTTACTTCAACTTCAAGAATCTTTATTATCTCCAAGGGTCAATTTGTTGTGCAGCCAGTAGAAATAAAACATCAAAAACAAAAACATTCATGCACAAATACACAAAAATCACAAATTTTCATTAGTACATTGAACTGCTTCTGGGATAAATGAGTTTTTATATCTATTAGTCCCACATTTGGTCAACTGATACCTGTGTCCAGATGGAAGCAGCCAACCTCCATTTTGGAGAAATAAAGTTTAAAGCTGATTGAATTGACAAGTTAATTCATTTTGAGATTGGAGACCCACCTTGCCAAGCCATTAGCCTGTCAGTTCAGTAGACCGTATTTATCGATACTTCCAACCAGAATCTGAAAATGATAAATTTTCCTTGCAAA